TAAAATGTATTAGTTTTGATTTGAATAAGTAATTTTTGATAAGTTATTTTACATTACATCTTTGAAGTTATTTTTTGTTCAGGTGTAATCCTTCAAGTTATTTTTTGTTCACATATTATCATTAAATTTGTTTGGATTGTTCGTATTATCTACTCACTTGGTGTATGTAACATATTTTAAATATTGTTCCCATTTAATCATTTAAAATTTTTTTGTCCATATATTAGTATTGAACTTTTTGGATTGTTCACATTGCATTCTTATCAACTTGTTTGGACAATTGGCATTACATCCTTATAACGTGGTTGTGGTCATCTTCTATGTTGCCATTGAACTCTTTTTCAACTATCTGGTATGAGAGGTGTTTAAGTTTGAGTTTGGACCTACTCAATCTTTCATTTTTTTTAAACTATCATAACTCATTCGTTAGAAGTTGAAATGTTAGATTTTTTTTTTCAAAACATAGTTTTATGTGTGTATTTCATTTTAAACTATATAAAAATCTTATTTGGTTACACGTTTGATTTGGTTAGCATCCCAAAACATATAATATCAAAGTTGAATTTACGTTATTTCAATGTTGAATTTACTATTTGTATTTTATTTAAAGCTGCATAAACAACTTATTTCTTTATATATTAGGTTAATATTTTTTTGTTGATTTGGTATTATGCTAATCATTTGGTTATTTCCATGTATATACAGCATGCCAAGAATTAAAAGATGACTTATTAGCTTACAATGGTTTTATATCCTATAAGTTTTTTAAACTTTATTTTACCATCTCATAAAATAATAATATAGCTTTCCTGCCCCTTATTGCCACTTAACTCACTTTCAAAAATAAAAATTCTGCTTCCGATTAATATACTGGAATGAAAACTTTGAAAAAAAAAAAAATTGGGATAAAATAGACTTGAATTTGATTTTTCTTGGCAAAACCTAAATCAAACCTAAAATTTTATTTTTTTAGAACAAAAGTTCTGTCTTTTCGTTTTTTTGGTTTCGAATTTTCAACTTTCAAGTTAGAGATCGTTGTAGGTTTTATTTTTTTTACTTTTTCTTTTTTTGAACCAGAAGATTTTACTAAAAACTAAAAAGAAACTAGCAAAACAGAATTATAAACTGGAACAAGCTAAGGATGGTTTTTGTAACTAGCCAGTCCAATGAAAATTTACACCTATTAGAAATTCAAAAAAAAATAACCTATCTACAGTATAATAAAAAATAATGAATTTTTTAGTACCATCTTTACAAAAAACAATGGAATTTCTAAAATTCCAAATAACCCAGAAAGTTTTAATCACAACCGCATTGAAAACCTTCTTTAACCCCTTAGTTAAAAGTGTAGAATCGTCCTAAGTGGACAAAAATAGTCATGGGTATCGAAACTCCCATCTAGGACATAAGTGGATTAAGGAGTACATTATGATTATGTTAGATTTGCCATTAAAAAAAAATTATCGATACTCCCCACCAAATGGCAATCCTATGTCCAAGATCTCAAAATTGGGCAACCCATAAAGATACGATCAACGGTCTCTACTGAAAGAGTACATATCAGGCATAAAGTGGAATTAACAAGAATATCCTTAGCTGATAGCCTCTCTATCGTAGGAATACTCAAAAGCTTAACAGGTCACATAAGTGTTGGATCAAGATGTCTAAGGTTTTAACTAAATTAATATAACGTTTATGAGTAAAAGTAAAGTATTTTCTGGGTTGAACGCATAACCAAGAAATTGCTTAGATTGATTATAGGAGATAGATAAATGATTTATTAATCACTAAGAAAAAACCGATATTGCTAGGCAAGGTTGCTATGGAACGTATTTATGTTATTATTTTGCAACGGATCGTGCTACGGAATGGTGTTCCATAGCTAATTTGCTACCACAATTTCTACGGAATTGATTTTCGGTAGCGAACATAGGAATAGCTTCGGAAACTGTTACCGACTCGAAATCTGTTGTTATATTGCTACCGATATTTGTATGGAAAAATCATTCGTTGCAAAGTTGCAACGAAGTTTTTTACAAAAATACTTTCCGTTGTAATTTTGCTATAGAATTAAATGTCATGGTTAATTTGCAATGAAATTTTTCAGAGAAATAATATTTTCCGTTGTAATTTTGCTAGAGAAATAATATTTCATAGTTGTTTTGCTATAGAAGTAGAATTGATAGCTATTTACCTATTGGAATTGTGTTATACAATTTTATTTATGTTGCTTGTTTGCTATGAAAAAAAAAAAAAAAAAAAAAAAAAAAAAAAAAAAAACTAGCAAATTTGTTAGGAATTAATTTTTTGTAAAGTATTTTACATTATAATGCCATATTTTGGAATTTATTTGCATAAAGCGGACCTTTTAACACCCATATTCCCAAACCAACAAGCAGAAGAAGAGAAATTAGGACAAATCGATGTCTTCATCTTCAAGAAGTAACGTCAGACTGTGCAGATGTGGAGATCCGCTTGGAATGTCGATGGCATGGACGTGAAAGAATCCTAGTCGGAGGTTCATCGACTGCACAAACTACAATGATGAATATAGAAATTATGGGTTTTTTTCGTTGGATTGACCCACAACTCCTGAAAAAGTAGAATAAAAAGAAGACGTATGAATTGATAGCTCAAGTCAATGGTGAACATGTCATTTTAGATGCCCCCTATGCTCCTACCAATTTTCTTGTCAATGAATCCCCACTTCAAGTTGTTATTCAAGATATTAATGAACATGGTAATGGCCATCGAGTCGAAGGTTGTCAAGTTGAAATTATCAAATTCATGATGGGTTGTTTGGTTTGTTTCTTTGTTGGGATGTTGTATGCTTAATCTTTCTGTTTATGTAATTGAATTATTACAAACTGGAATACTAATGGAGGAATTTTTATTATGATCAACGTAATCGGTAACCTATGGTTTGAATGTAATCGGTAACCTATGGTTTGAATGATATGTATTTGAAGTGATAATATATATTTTTTTCTTTTATGGTCGAATTTTACATATGCTTTTACTACTATATTGTCTTGAATGACTTTATACCATTCTAAATTAAAGAAATTGCATTACAACTTAAAAGTGGATTTCATTGGATATGTAATGAAAATATTATAGATACAAATATCTCAAAACACATGTCTCATTGTTCTAAAATGATTGATATGTCCCGAAGAATGAGAAAACTACATTTAATTATCTCCAAGGGCACTAATACATAACATCAAATATACCAACTTGCATACAAAAACTAAATATTAGATAATTTAACCATTCTTAAAGAAACAATATAAGTTTTACTCAATATCTTCTCCCTCCTCCTCTTTTTCCTCCTCTTCTTCCTCATTGCTTAATGTACTATACTCATAACTACCCTCGTTTTGTAACATCCCAAATATTAAGATCAAAAATTTCATTTTAATTATAATAAAAAAAATCAACCCAAAAGTGTTTTATAAAACTATAATATAATCAAAGTATAACCAAAACATCCAAATATATTAGAGTCGAAAAAAATGCGGAATAGTGTGGTGTGTGCGATGCGATCACCCCGAGCTCTTCTCTTTAGATCCGGAAGTACCTGAAACATAAACTAAAAACCATAAGCATGAAGCTTAGTTGTAACACCCCCGAACCAGGACGGCGGAAACGTCCGGGTTGAACGACGTCAATTGTATAGTACCATAAGAGTTGAATATAAATGAAGTATAGTAACCCAAACAGCATACATTAAGAATACAAACTTACATAGTTTACATACCGTGTTTGTTCAAAAGTTCCAAAATAATGACTGAAAAGTAAAATTCCATAATGCAGCAACACTTGATATCAAAAGAATTGAATATATGTTACTAATTCTCTGAGAATACAAGTGATTTTGAAAAGGGTCAACAATAATGTTGGTGAGTTTATAAGCATTTTTGTATGAAAAGGGTTGTAACTGCTTTGTTTAAAATAAAGTTGTATGTTTCCATAAAATACGATACTTTGTATAAAATAGGTTGTTAATCTAATAACCAAGACTTAAAATGTATGAATGTCCTTTGTATCTTTTTCTTGTAAATTGACCATGTCTGTTTCAAGAAAATCCCATATTTTATGATATGTAAACTAAACCCTAAGACCAGTAATGTAAGCAATAGTGTACTATAAAGTAGTATGTAGTTTTATATTTTTATAAAACCGGTGAATTGTGAGCTTCCTGTAAACCAAGATAGTATCGTTAATCCCTATGTGAGCTATTATAACCAGGCTTGATGTAACTGTTATGCATATACGATGTTCTTCAGGCATTGGAATTGATAGATATTTGTCACCCTAGACTGGCCTGTCTAGCTGTAACAAACAACTTAGGTATGGGGTTGTCAATCCCGTATATATCTATACACAACTATCTCGCTCTCCCTCCAGGAGACTCTGATTATAATATAGGACTTAAGGTGTACGCTAGGTAGGT